GCTCTACTTTTCGCAACAAATTTCTTCAACCTGCAACAAATGTTTTTGTTGCGAGACAAGTTGATCACGCAAGGTGAAAAACGAGAAACATCGACCAAATCTTGCAACGAAACAATGTTGCGCGCCAAGTTGGGGGTTTTTTGCATCTCGTATTTCGCCGCCTTAATTGGTTGAGGGAACAGCACTAGTTTCGTGGACCAATCACAGAGTGTTCAAGAACTGCAAATCAAGGTAATCCCAGATTACCTTCGATACCCGATTGAAAATTTCTCAAGCCGCCACACAGTGACCTGACTAAATTGTGGTCCTCGCCTTTCGATGTTATCAGCGCTTCTTGTCGAATCATTATTTTAGAGATTTGTAGCGATTACTGTTAGGAAATTTTCAAAGTTTTCCAAAAAAGGTCAAATGACAAGTGCGTAGTTGACCACGACCTAAATGGGATCTCTCGTTTTGGAGTATTGGTGTGTATTCTTAGAAAGGAAAACCATCGAGAAAAAAAAACTACAACTTTTGTTTTCAATAAATAACAATAACAACAAAACTACCGTGAAGTGGTACGAGGGGGAGGGGTGGGTAGGGCAAATGCTGAACACTGAAGATAATGAAGAGGAAAGGATGCCAGTGGAAAGATATGTATCGAAGGTGTTGTCAGCCACCTTAAAGTCTTTTTTTCTTTTTTCGTTTTAGGACACTGCAGGTGAAGAGAGATACTCAGGCCTTTCCTCATTTTACTGTCGGGGCGCTTCAGCAGCCATTCTGGCTTATGACATCTCACAAAGCAGATCTCTTCGCGCGTTAAGAGAGCGTTATCTACAATTGCTTGACGCGTCCGAACCAAACTGTCTAGTGGTAGTAGTAGGCACCAAGAAAGATCTTGTGACGGGCAGTTTTCGGGAAATTGCATCCTGTGCTGGCGAGTCATTAGCCTTGGAACTAAATGAAAAGAAAGGAAGGGCCAGTGGCAGCTTCAACGAGAAACCATTCTTTGAAACGAGTGCAAAATCTGGCGAAAACGTTCAGAAAGTTTTTGATTTTATATTGAACACGTGCTTACCTTTGGACAATGAAGACACTGCAAAGAGGTCATTGCGACAAACGACAGGCATCGATCTTGAAAATGAATCACAGACGCAAAACGAAAGCGCAAAAAAATGTTGCTGAGAATATCTGCAGCCAAAATCCCATCTATGGTTTCGAATGATATGGAAATTTTATTCAGAGGAGTCTAAAATAATTATCGCCATGAAGTATGCTAATAATGCCACCATCAACCGACTGGTAACTTTTGGATGGCAATTTTTGGATTGACAATTTTTCTTTTCTTGTTGTTTGATTGGAAAGAGTCCATGTTCAATGCGCCATCGGCTATCGCAGAAAAGCTCTACAAGATCATGATACCATTTATACCGAATTTTAGTTAGAGACCAGTTCAGCGTAGTTTAAGATGGTAGTTGACGTGAGCCCTTGCTGGAAATATGATAAAAAGAGGCCTGTGTTTCGTGTCTTAAATCGACGGCTCTTCAGGGTGTACGCCATATTGCTTTCTTTTTAATGGAGGAGGGGAGAGGTAGTTGATCGTGACGTTAGCTAGAGGAACTTGCAAGGGAGCACGAACAGTTAAATACTTTTACAGTCGAATCCCCGTAAACGAATTTCTCACCTTAACAGTCACAAAGGCCAGTTTCAAAGGCCGTACCTATCACATTGTCTTTGTAGTAGCAGAGCTAAATTGATGGTACCACTAGTGGCGTCTGAATCAAATGTGTAGGGAATCAGCAGTTCCGGTGGTGTGGTAAGACTATCATCTAGAAGTCGATAAAGATAGGTGAACCGGTGTCACAATTTTTATAAGCTGGCGTATCGAGAGTTAGCTCTTGGTACAAGACTATACGAACGAATTTTGCACAGCTGTGGGTGTTTGACGATGGACCAAAAGGCTAATCCCAGTAGGAGGTCCAGGGGGGTATCCTCCCCTGGCAAATTTGAAAAATTGTCCTTCATAATTCCTTACTGGTAAGGCTTGCCTTGGTTAAGTTTCTTTTTTTCCAAGAAAGTGAGGGGGCACAGACCCCCTGCCCTCTACTCCCACGGCCCTGTGGTTGTTAAAGCCTTCGTTCTGACAAGAGCTATCGTTCGAATCGTCACTTCTCAACGCTCGGTATGAAATTATCTCTACATCTCTCAACTTGAAGTTCATGATTATCCACGCTGAAAGATAGAGCATCCTTGGTAATAAAGAATTTTCCCTCTTTTGTTATGCTTGTTTAATTTTGCTTTGCTTAATTTAGAGCTCTTGCTTTGTAACCTCTGCCTCCCCCCCTCTTCACAATGACGAAAAATGTTTAGTTTATCAATGTTTATATAGACACTCGCATTTTCCCTAAAGCAACTTGGGAAGCGACGCTCAAGTCGACCGACGAAAATATATCAAATTACCAACAGGCAAAGTAGCTATTATTTTATGATGATGATATTGTTATCATTATCATTATTATTATTGCTGCCATGAATGCTCATTGTTTTTATCAATAAAGCATAGAATTGTACTCAGCACACCTGTATGCTTAAAGAAAAAAAAAGAAAGGAAAAAACATGAGCCCTAAGTAACTAGAATGTTTATTTACTATGCTATATCAGTTCCAATAATGACGAAAAAGATACAAGCAATGGAACAAGGGCATGCGAGGAAGCAGAAAAGCGAACCAATTGGGTCCGTCACTCACCATTGCAGCACGGGAAAAAGCTTACTCGGACGTGCTTGTACGCGTATTTAGGATGCAGTCATTACGTAGACTGGGTTTTATTTTGGGAAGTTAAAACTTGCTGAATCTTTTTTTTTTTTTAACAAAACAGGGTTATGAAAAAGGAAGTTTCCTATTCATTTGGGTATTGAATGTCGAGTGTGGAGTTTGAGTAATTGCTGCACATTTTGTGGTGGGATGATATTCCACAAACTAGAAAAGTAGAAAATCGACTCGGTAATTGCTTTAGAAAATTACAGAACAAGATGTTACCTAACCAAAACCAACAGTCGACAAAACTTGTTTGTATCAACGTCAGATTACCTCGATTTGAGGCCTGAAATGTTGTTTGTTACTTCGGTTGATACCAATCTTGATAAACCTGTTTAACAGAAAAACAACAACGATCTCCATTACTATTATCTAACTACTTGCGAAACAGTTGTAATTTGCAAGCCTCCTCGATTACCTGACAACCTCGAAACCAACGCTGAAGGTGAAGCGAAATTTCTTGAGTCACTGAGCAAGGCACTTTTTTTGCCAGGGTAAGCAGTTAACTTTTTTTTGATGGTATGTTACACCGTTTGCAGCGGTTTCTTTTACTTTTGAACGCCACACTGAATTTCCGTCCGAAATGAATGTCTAATTCACTTATTACGATATCTGTGATTTAAAAACAGGAAGCAAACGGAGTGGCAAAAGTAACACAGCGAGCGTGGAAAACACGAACAAGTTGCTGACCAACGATTAGCGGCTGAAACGGGAATTAAAAGATGAAGAGGAACCTCAAAGCGAAGGTGGGACACCGAAATGGCGGTTATGCATATGATTAAGAGATCAGGGACATTTTCACTACTGCGAAAAGTTCAAATTTACAATCTTGACTGATATAAATGCAGAACTTTTTCCATAATGGACGTTTCTTTTGATAGTAGAAAGTAACTCATCAATAAACGCAATTATTTTTTACTCATATTAGGAGCAACGTATTCTCAGGGCTGATGAATGTCGGCTGAATTTTGACTCGCCTTACAAGCTCGTCAAAATACGGCACAACTCGCAAACATTCTCAGCGATACTGCACAACAAAACGTTTAATAAGATACAATTACTGCCCAATACCGAAACTTACTGCCTTTGTCTGTACCACGGAGCTAAAATTGTTGAAAATTTACCAAGAGAATTTTGAATCTTAGAAACGGATAGGAAAAACTTTTTCAGTTTCTTCTACCCTCGTAGAAAAAAAAAAGCTGTATTTGCCAGATAGAATATTTCAGAATTCATCTAAAACCACGAAAGATCAAGAATTTTCTATTCGCTGTTAAAAAAAAACAACTGTTTTTGTGATTTTTCTTTTTCAAAATTTCATTTGCATAATGTTGTACATTTTGCAGAGGAAAGTGAGACCAGTGAGACCAGTGAGACATCAAGCGAAGGAGAAAATGAAAAAAGGCCGGCTATCAGTCTTAAACGTGAAGTGAAAAACGAAAAGGAAGGACTGCAGTGGCTAGACGAGATTAAAGTACGATGCATTTCTCACGCACTGAGTCAACAACTCTGCAATGTTCAAAAAATAATTTTCTTCCTGTCATGATACTGAAATACGGATACAGAGGATATCGTATGACCGCGCGGGAATACGAAATTTCTCTTACAATGTTGAAAAAAATATTTCACGAGTGAGCGAAGCGATATGAACACCAATGAAAAAAAAAAACTGTGTCACTTTTGCTGCGAAAGGTGTATTTTATTATGTAACCATTGTAACGGTTTTATTTTCACGTGTGAAAGTAACATGTTATTTTTCACGCGAGAAGATATCACATTTTCGCGCGGAAGCTCACCCCTAACCCCAACCCTAACCCAACCCTAATCTAACCCTAAAACCCTAACCCTAACCCTAATAAAACTCTAACCCTAACTATAGTCAAAACTCTAATATAAAATTAGCAATTTAACCCTAAACCCTAAATGCTTCGCCTCCTCTTTCTGATAGTTACTCATATAATATTTTAACTTCATTCTATTTTATTTTATTTTGATTTTATTTACTTATTTATTTTATTTTAATAATATATAACATATATTTTTTACAATTTTAAATTGAGTTTAGGAGCGTGCTGTTGTTACAGAGGTCGCTCCCTCAATTTTATTACCTAACTTTTATGTTCATTTTACACACTCATTCCCACCCTTGCATACGCTTTGTTCCTTTTTTTACTTTGGCGATCAGAAAAACGACTGGAAGCTGTTGGTTCCTGTTGAGGTGGGTGTGTTCTCTTATTACGGGCACCTGTGTTACAGGCAACTCTATTTTTGGTATAAGGTTCTCAAAAATTTGCAACAGTGCGATTAACAGTTCACTTTATGAACTTTGCGTCTCTCCTTGGTTTCTGGGGCATGTTGCACTCATATTTAATTTCCCACGCTATTTACTGGTTTCGAAAAGGTATTGAATTTTTTAAAAAGTTTGGATTTTATTGAACTAACTTTAAAGTTCTAGGAAGATATATATATAAGAGATCTGTTTTTTAGTGACTATAATAAAAACTGTGAAAATTGTTTTTTTACGTCTTTCTATACTGCAGTTTGCTGTTTCTTTGTACCGTGAAATGATGGAAGCCGGAAGAGATCTGGGTGTAAGGAACGCGGGTCAGTCAGTGCTTGATGGCTTACGAATTGAAAGATTGATTCCTCAGATGGGAAAAGAGATGACGTCATTCGTAACTCCAAGGGAGGCTGGGGTGATGGACAGAGTGCAACTGAATAAGGTAACCATGGAAACCGTAACCTACAAACTCCTCTCCACGAGCGAACCGATCCAGCTACTTTTAGACTATCTTCTTCCAAGAAATATTGAAGTTCCTGTTTGTGCAATGTGTATTAGTTGCTTGGAAAATTTCTGTTCCTGTATTTTGTCTCTTCGTTCTCTTTGTTCCACTGTAATCTTAGCTCAGATGCCATCTCCTTAAATTCCCTGGTAGTATTGGTTAGAGAGAGTCTTATTCTAATTCAATCGAAACGTGAGTCGGTGTGCGAAAACACTGCGAACGCTCCACTGCATGATGAAGAGAGAAAGTCAACGGAGGAGAATATGGTTATCCCTTTAAACTCAAACATCTTTTAAAAAGGGTCTCAATTGGGGGGGGGAGGTTTACGTTGACGATTGACGGTTAAAAATGAGGCCTTTTGACGGTCAACGTTTAAATTTTAGGTCATTTGACGGTTGACGGTTAAGTATTAGAGTGTCGTTTATAAAACGAACTTAATGCGCGAATTTGGCTGTAATGTTTCATAATGACGCGTTTGTAAAGAACTGTTAATTAATAACACCTTTTATCGATAAAGGAGTAACGTTTTACGACACCGGAAGTATTTCCACACCGGAGGTCAGTTCTGTCGTTAACAAAATTTACTCGCGACTAAAGTTAAAGTACTTACATTAATGTATTTTTGTTATATATCAAAACTTTTATTCATAAACAACAGAAATCGACCCCAATAAAGGCAATCGTTTAGTTCTTAATTAAAGATACCTGAGAAATTTGACGACTAACATTGGCTTGCTTATTTGACGGTTGACGGTAAAAATATTGTGTCTTTGACGGTTGGTGGTTAATGTTTTGGCCATTTGACGGTTGGCAATTAATATTTTGGCCATTTGGTTGACTGTTGACGGTTAACTCCATTGAGACCATCCACGAACGTTCTTGGCGTTTGATTAATTTTTCTGTGCTTTTCGGCTAAGCCAACCGTTTGTATTTCCCAATATATCTATCCTAGAAATGCAATTTCCTTGGAAAACAAGCCCTTTTAGCTGATGATCAACAACCTGCAAAGAAGCATCTTGTGCAAATTGCCCTTCAAGAACACGACGACGACAATTACCCGTGGGGAGGGGAGCCGATTCTTAGAAATGGCTCCATGATCGGGTCCACGACAAGTACCTGTCACAGCTTTAAACTGGATCTTCCAGTGTGTTTAGGATACCTAGAAGGAGAGGAACTGGATGCTATAGTAGACGACGGACGCTTTGAGATTGACGTCGCCGGTACTTCATATCCTGTTTCTGTGCACAATATCAACAAAGATTTGGAAGACGATTTGTGGAGACCTCCTAGTTCTTGTTGATCAATTTGCACCATACAAAAGTCTAAATGGAAAGATAAAATCCATGTGAGTATCTGAGCAAATGTGCACCTAACACCCCCCC